ATATATGAGCTGGTTCAAATAAAAACTAGTGCTGATGTGAGAACCGTGAGAACCATATTTCATGCTATTTATAATTGTGTATGATGCAATTTTTAACACAATGATGCTATCATTTTCACAAATGCTAATATAAATTGTTTTGCTATTTTTAATAAAATAAATTTATGTTAAAGATAACACTAAAACACAATTAATCATAGCACTAGGTACAATTACAAACAGTGGTTTTCACGGTTCTCACGCTAGGACTTGGTTCTCATTTGAACCACATCATATATATATATATATATATATATATATATAAATAATCATAATATTGAAGATATTTGAGCTGGTTAAAGATGAGTTATATTTTAAATATAAATTGAGTTTGGATTTAGATTTTTCATATACAAACACACCCTTATTTTTCATATATTTTTGTTGATGTTGTAATATGTTATTTTATTCTTATATTAGGACATCATTATATTATTTAAAAAAATACATTAAAAGCTTATTTGTCCAACATTTTATTTTGTTCATGCAATGATATATTTAATAATTTAATGAATTTATATTACTAAACTTAATCAACCAATTGCTAAATCTTTTTTGTTTTTATCGATAAAATCCCAATTCCCGTCGCCGAGCCATAGCTTTTATTCCTTCTGATTTGTGCCTCCCCCTCCCCCGGGACCCTGGTTCTTGCAGTTTCGGCGAGCAGCTGGCTCGCCCTAGGCTCGAAGGCGCGCGGCTATGGCGGTCTTTTTGTTCATCCTCTCCAATAGTGGTTTGCCTCTCTTCCCGAGTGCCAACGAGTGTGAGTAGTGAAGGGTTCCGCCGGTGGTTGGGCGCCGATGAACGCAGCAGGCTTCTTAGTGGATGTCCCCACCCCCCGCCCCTTTCTGTCCTTCCCTGGTGTTGGGAAGGTGCGGTCCTTCGGGTGCTGTGGGTGTGGTTGCGTGACTGGCCCCGATGTGTGCGTGAGAGGGGATGTGGAGTGGTTCGGCCTAGGCGGGTCTGCGAATTTCCGAGGACGGGTGTTAGATCTGTGGTCCGGTTTTAGTTAGCCCATTAGGGGAGTTTGTGGTACCGTCGTGTTTGGGCTGTAGCTCTGGCTTATTCTCTCGGGATTTTCGTTTGATTGCTAGTTGGGGCTGTTTTGGAGTTGGGTTTTGTGCCTGGTGGGGAGGGCGTCAATTTATTTTGGTTTTTTGTGTTGTTTTTTCTTTTTGTTCCTGTGTTTTTGGTGTTATCGTGTAGTCTGTGTTTTAGTTTGGTGTTATTCTTCCGTTGAGAGTAGTTAGAATTTTCATGTTGGGAGTTTTTTTGTTTCGTTTTTCTAGTTTTTTAGTTTAGTATTCTGTGTTTAGGTTGGCTTTAGGTTGCATCGGGCTAAATGTCTATGGGGTTAGTCCTCCCAACTAGATTCGGTCGAGTACTTGACTTATTCGGCTATTTAGCTACTTTCTAGGATGTAATTATATGTTTTTCTATTAAAGAAATCTATCGTTTGACAAAAAAAAATTAATCGGCCAAAAAACATCTGCAACATTGTGCATCCCATGTGTAGACATGGCCAAAATCCGGGCCACCGGGATCGAAAACAATAAAACGAACTCGACACTGACCTATATTCGTGACGAGTCAAAGGTCCGATTGACCGGGTCGGGTGAGGGTCCGTGCCTGGTCATGTCCGGGCCAACTCCGTCATTTTTAAAAAAACAATAAAAAGAGTTAAAAAAATAGGAAACGGGCTATCGACCCGGCTTGGCCCAGGCCTGCCGGGCCAGGTCACGAAATGGATGACCCTGGCACGACCTGTCGGAAATCCATTCCGTGTTGGGTCGGCGGGCCGGGCGACCCTTGGCCATGTCTACCTATGTGTACTTTACTAGTGAATTAAAATTAATATGACAGAATGATAGATTGATTTTATTTTATTATATTAACAATATTTAAAATATTGAGATTGAGTTAAAAGTCGAGTGAAATATTGAGTTACTATTTTGAGTTAAATTTGTAACCATGACCACTCACACACAGTTGCAAACTGGGGCCCTGACCGGGTCTGCCCAAGCACTTTAACAGACCAAACTCACCAAGAAAAAAATATAATTAAAAAGAAAAGAGAAAACAGAATAGGAAAAACTTCAGAAACCAACAAAGACAGGGACAAATGAGCACGTGATCTGGAAAAACTTTACCTGCTAAAAATTTCCTTTTCTTTTTTATTTTCATTTTTTTTATTATTATTATTATTATTATTATTATTATTATTATTATTATCATTATTATTTTGGGGTCCTTTGAGACATCCCATTGTTCTCTCTGAATCAATCACAGGCATATATCCCTTCAGTCCAAATCACTGAATATAAAGCAATATTTTTGCTTCCCCATAAAAACAACTAGCTTTGCACATTTATTTGTTCATTAAAAAAATTTAGTATAATAATAATACTAAATAAAATATTGTAGTACAAAAAGACCCATTTTTTTTTTTTTTTTAGTTTTCAATTCACATATCAGTATATCATCACACTGTGTCCCCATCTGTATAGCTGAGTCCTTTTGGCTTTATGCTACGAACCTTGTGCAGTTTTTTTATCTATTTGGGTAAAAATATAACCTAGTGAGATGTGTGAATTCTAGCTTTAAAGATAGGGGTGGGAGTTTCATGAGCTTATCTTTGGCGTGAAGAATCTCCATAACTGCTCTGTAGCCAGAGATTTGCAGACCAAGGCAAACAGAACTGTGTTAAGATCAATCACACAGAATTCACATATACTTAAACAAAATTCTCAGATCTCAAGGCTTTCACAGTATCAGGTCTTTTTTTTCCTGCTCCCACAAATTTAAACACTCATTTCTTGGTCCCCATCTACACCAAAATAGTGTCAATTTTAGTGCTACTATGCAAGCCTCTGTTTTTTTGGGTTCAAGACAGCAACTTTTTCATCTGGGCCCCTTCTTTTTCCTTCTGCAAATGGGTTTGGAGCTGAAGGGATAAATTTGATGTAGTTTTGTGGGACAAGTGGAAAAAAAAAGCATTATTCTTGGTGAAATTGTGGATTTGCTTTATGGGATTCTGATTCTTGGGTTTACTTTTTTTGGGTTTAGCTGTTCTGTGCTGAAAATGGTGCTTTATGTCTTGTGGGGAGGCTGTGAATCTTTTTTTGAGTAATCAGTAATGGCTTGTGCTGTGAACGGTATTAAATTTTTTCTGAGAAGGTGAAAATTTGTGGAGCTGAGTTTTAATTTTAACGAAGTATGGAAAGAGGAAAGTGTGTGCTGTGGAGGATAGTACTGCTGGTTTTGGCAATATTGACAGAGGGTTCTCACTCAACTCTCTCTCCTTCTGGTGTGAATTATGAAGGTTCAGATTTTATTGTTCTCTCAATTTATGAAATATCATATTTATTGATATTTATTTTGTACATGATAGTTGCATTTAACCTTTGTAATGTGGATCCAGACCTTGCCCCCTTGCTGTTTCAGTGGCTCCACTAAATTTTTATTATTTAGTGTTGTTGTTGTTGTTGTTTTTTTTTTTTTTTTTTTTTTTTTTTTTTTTTTTTTTTTTTTTTTTAATGTTTGTGCTGAGAAAAGACTAGTTCTTAGTTCTTACAGCTTCATCTATTTAGGGAAGAACTTGATTTCTTTCCTTAAATCTCTGCAGTCGTGGCTTTAATCGCGATAAAGAATGCTTTACATGATCCTTATAATGTCCTAGAGAACTGGGATGCCAATTCTGTGGATCCTTGTGGTTGGAGAATGATCACTTGTTCATTAGACGGTTTTGTTTCTGCTCTGTAAGTGCTTACTCCAATAAACTATTACTGGGAAAAATTTGAAGTATATCCTCTTATTACACACATCAACATATCTTTGCTAGTTGCTCAACCTGAGTTTGCTTGTTATCAGAGGGCTGCCTAGCCAGAGCTTGTCTGGAACCTTATCACCTGGAATAGTAAATCTCACCAACTTGGAGTCTGTGTAAGTGGTTCAATAACGATTAGTTCTTTCTATAAGAGTGTACATGTGGGCTGGCTAGAGAAAATGGCGTACTTTCTAAGACTATAGTCGGGAAAAACTCCTGTATAATTGTTAACTTACTGCTGCATGGTGTAAGAAATGTTTCCTTGCCCAACTGTAATTGTTCACCTGGAATAGTAAATCTCACCAACTTGGAATCTGTGTAAGTAGTTCAATGACGATTAGTTCTTTCTATAAGAGTGTACATGTGGGCTGGCGAGAGAAAACGGCGTACTTGTCGGGAAATCAAATTTTAGGCGAACGTTTTTATCTGTTACAACCAAGTCAACATGAAAAACTTTTGTACAAGTGTTAACTTACTGCTGTATGGTGTAAGAATTGTTTCCTTGCCCAACTGTAATTTGTTGTCTCATTTTCAAAGATTACTCCCAAGCTTCAATGTAATTACGACTATTTTAGGCATAACCTTGTGAGCTTTATTTCTCTTTCTCAAATTACACCCTCAGACGGAGGCATTTGTTTGTCAAACACCAACTTAGGAGTGTTTTAACACTTGAGCCTTTTGTAGCCAAGCTAGGCCCCCTCGGTAGGTTATGTAGTTATATGTACATCTGCTTTAAACTTGTATTGCTAATATAAATTTGAAATCCGATATATTTCCTCGTCTAATGTAGGTTGCTGCAAAACAACGAAATTAGTGGTCCTATTCCAGCTGGCATTGGCAAGCTTCAAAAGCTTAAGACACTCGATCTCTCTAACAACATGCATACTGGTGAAATGCCAAGTTCTTTGGGGGATCTCACTAACTTGAATTATTTGTGAGTTTGAGACTTCTGTCGGTGGGAACTTGATAAAAATAAATATTACTTTTTACTTTGGCTTCCCTTAGACTGAAAGGCTTTTGCTATATGCAAGACAGGCGGCTCAACAACAACAGCCTTAGTGGATCCATTCCCGACTCTCTTTCCAATATTCAAAGTCTCACCCTTGTGTATGTCATTTTTTTTCCCCTCATTCGCGCCTGGGTTTTGGAATATTCTAGAAAGAACACGTTCGTCTGACTCTGTTTTGTTTTAAGATTTGTAGTTTATTTGTTGCCTTTGCAGGGATCTGTCGTTCAATAACTTCAGTGGTCCGTTGCCAAGACTTTCTGCTAGAACTTTCAAGTGAGTTGTCTTGCTATATTTACAATTACAATGGAATGATTGCAACTACCTTAGAAAAACAGAAACAAGCTGAATCAGAACTTAGGAACTGTGGTTTTCCAGTGTTTTCAAAATCAAGTTTGTACTTTTTCTTCAGTTTGACTTTGACAAATGCATAAATTCTTTTAAGACTAGTTTGTTACTCACCCACCCATTGACTTTTTCAATCTGTTCTTATAAATATGATCAACCAATTCCGTACTGTCTTTCTTTTGGCCCCATTTTACATTATTTCATTTAAAGAGAAGTCTTTGCAAACACTCCCTAAGTCATTATACTTGTGTTTTTCTAATTAGAGTAGTCTTCTTGCTCCAATTATTATTTCAGAATAGTAGGGAATCCTCTAATTTGCGGGCACGCGTCTCAAAACAATTGTTCCATTGTCTATCCAGAGCCGTTATCCTTCCCGCCGGATGCCGTTAAAGGCAAGTACAGTTCTCCAGCAGTTGATTAATCTTGATCTCGACTGTCATGTCTAATTAAACTATTTGCTTTTTGCAGATAAATCTGATTCCGGGGCAAAACATCACCTTGCCATTGTCTTTGGGGCAAGCTTTGGTGGTGTCTTTTCATTTGTGCTCGTTGTTGGTTTGCTCTTTTGGTGGCGGTACAAGCGCAATCAACAGATTTTTTTTGATGTTAATGGTGAGTTCACAGGAATTTTTGATCGTAATGTACAATATGGCTCCGGACATTCTCCACACGCAGTGTTTATTATTTTCTCTTTTCGTGATGAATTTATGAACTTTGCAAAAAAGGAAACTTTGAGTTTCATTTAGTTGTTTAGTAGTTCTAAAAGCTCAACTGGTCCATTAATCTTCTTGTTTTTGGACGCATGTGAACGTAGCTTCTTACTTTTTACACCAGTTTTCAACTCCCACCATTTTTTAAGTAGTTATAAGGGGATTGATGGGGGGAGGGGAGTCCAAATTCCTAAATAACTGGGAGGTACAGGGATCGAACCATGAATTCATCATAAAATTGACGTGGTTGGTAATGAAATAAAAAATATAACATACAGGAAGGAAGCTACTGGGTAGTTTATGAAGTCAGTTTAATTTTTTTTTTTTTTTTTTT